CTGGGTGCATTTTTTTGGTCCTAGGACTGTTTTTTTAAGAAGTACATACCCAAAGTTGAGAAAAAAAAACTTTAAAAAGTAAATTTTGCATAATAGGTCCCTTTTAAGAATTATCTACTTGTCTTTTGCTGCAATGCTTCAAATATYACAAAACATTTAAAAAGTGCCATTTTTTAATCATAACTCTGGTTTTATTTAATGTAACAACACAATTGAAAAAGTGGTTTAAAGTTGAATTTTGCAGTTTTGACTCAAACTTAAACAGATCCTTAGGGAAGGCTTAATTTTTCCACTAGAATGGTTTAAATTAGTCGTGACTGATGTGCTGCTGTCAGGTGATTCAAGGGGTTTAATCATCATGTAATAAAATTTAGTGTTCGTTATTTGAGGTCGAGACGGAACCACATAAATGTTGAATAGATTAAATGTGAAGAGAAGAGGACCATACAACCCAGGTCTGGTTAATGAGCGAGCATTTATTTCTTACACTGAAGCAACCAGAGCAACGCTGTCTGAAACCGGAAGTTCTGGTGTTTTTATACAGAGCTCTTCAGTGCCTGGTGCGCCCTCTACTGGCCTACTGCTGAATCACAGACACTCAGACAAAAACACCTGTCCTTATGTTTGATTTTATGTGTTGTGATGGTGTTTCAGCCATGTATCTAAACTATTTTAATCAAGACATTACAATAGTTAAATAATGCATTATAAAAGTCAATACTTAGAAAGGAAAACTAAGAAAATGTTGTTGTGCTTTTAAAATCAGTATCTTAAATAGTAAATTCCTTCCATCATATTAATCATTATTGGCAAAATGCCACAGCTAAACCCTACAAATTATATACCGAAACTTGTGGATTGATTGAAAATATTATGCTGTAACTTTTGTTAGCGGTTAGCAGAACGGTGTAGACAAAATTGTAAAAAATAGATTTTGGTATCTTTGGTAGCTCTACAGATCACTTTGTAACAAAATCATGATCAATAAACTGGAAGTCTGAATAAAATGACAGAAAATCAGTTGATTCTCTTCTAAAAACTTTATTTAAATCTGACTCCAGTCAGACCCACAACACCTGTGTGTGTCTGACTGTCCTTGAGTCTGATCCAAACAACAACAACAACAACAACTTCACAGGAGAAACACTGAACATTTGAACTAACTTTCTAAGTGTGTTTGTGTGGTTCTGAGTGTGTTTGTGTGTTTTTCTGTGTGTGTTGTGTGTTTTTGTGTGTCAGATTGTGTGCAGGTTCCTGTGTGAGGGGGACTCTGATTGTGTTAGTGTGTTTCTCAGTGTGTTTGTGTGTTTTTGTGTGTCTCAGATTGTGTGCAGGTTCCTGTGTGAGGAGCAGTCTGAGTGTGTTTGTGTGTTTCTCAGAGTGTGTTTGTGTGTTTTTGTGTGTCTCAGATTGTGTGCAGGTTCCTGTGTGAGGACCAGTCTGAGTGTTGTAGAGGTTTTAAATGCTAAAATTCTAAAATGGATAATTTATGAATTATTTAAAAACGCAAATTATCTTTTTCCTCGAGGCACCACTAAAGTTTTTTTTAGTAAAACTTCAGAAAAACTTTCTTAATCTTCAATCTCTAAATATGAAGGCGTTTAATTCTTTCAGTTTAATGACGACGTGAAACAAAGAAATACACTGACGGAGACAAATCACGTTTGGAAATTCATCCGTGTATTATTTAAAATGAGGTTCAGAGGGAAATATATGCATTACAAATAATTTCTCAGACAAAAACACACTTTATAATCAATTCTGTAAACTTGATCAAGAAGGGATGTCATTAATCTGGCATGATTACCATGTGAACAACTTTCTACACATATTTCAGTGGGACACTACTCACTATTCCTAAGCCTACAGCTAGAGGGAGCTCAGGAGAAGAAGAATAGACATTGATCTAATCTGATCTGATTTAAATCTTTGAACACACCATCAGATTAATTAAGCAGGATATTTCCTACCGGCAAAGTTTGTAGACGCCAGAATGGATACTTCTATGGTGATTGGGTTGGCACGTGAAGTCCAACGAGTCTTAGCTGTGTTGTGTAGAAGTTCCCTGGTCATCTGGTTTGCCGGCTGCATTCACTGGAGATGTTGTCCAGCACACCGCGGCAGCTGCGTTCCTTGCGAGCACACTGATGGTCYTCCAACTTGAATTGAATCAGCCTCATTGTTTTCACTGTAAATCTCCTTCGTGAAAGCACCTTCAGAACAAAACTACAAAAAGGAAATAAAGTTGGAAAAAAGAATGGCCTCGCCCCGGGATGGTGGAAGCTGGAGCTAAAAAAAACTACTGCTCTCTCCTCAAAATACTTCTTCAGAACTCCCTACATGGCAGAACAATGAAAAACTCCTTGTTCACAACGGAACTTCTCATTGGTTAAGACTTTCTGCGGTGGTCACATGACCTATCCGGACATGTAACAGAAGAACAGAGTAATAATTGATCAACCAGATCAAGTTACTAAACAATGTCATGATTATTACAGTAATTACATCAGAGTACTAGGGCTGTGTATTGGCAAGAATTTGACGATACGATACATATCATGACAGAGGGGTCACAATACGATATATCCTGATAT